GACAGGAAACCCAAGACACGACTCAGCTCACCTACAGTGCTTGGAGGGTTGTCTTTGAGTGCCTGAACCGGGGCTATTTCAGCTGGATCCATCGTGTACCCCTGCTCTGACACCATCCGTCCCAGGAACCGGACCTGTCTCTTAAAAACATCACACTTATGAGGAGTGAGCTTCACACCATGTGTTTGGTACCTCTGCAGCACATCACGGATATGTTGTAGGTGAGTTTCGAATGATGGAGAGTGGACTAAGTTATCATCCAAATAGGGCTGACAGATGGCATCACGCAGTCCCTTTAAACAGTCCTCCATACTCCGTTGAAACTCTGCTGGAGCTGAAGCTGAGGCCAAACGGTATGCGGTTCCACTGGTACAGGCCCCATGGAGTAATGAAAGCTGTCAGGGGGCGACTACCTGGATCTAGGAAACCCTGATGATAGGCTTTGCCCTGATCAAGCACTGAGAACCAGGAGCTGCCGTGAAGAGAGTCCAACATGTCCTGAATCCTCGGGATGGGGTGCCTGTCTGGTACTGATTTCCTGTTGAGTTCCCTGTAGTCACAGCATAGCCTCAATTCACCTGACTTTTTCCTGACACAGACGATTGGAGATGAGTAGGACGATCTTGACTCTGAAACCCACCCTCTGTTTAACAGGTCTTGGAGATAGGCTTTAACTTCTTGGTGCAGGGGCTTCGGGACTGAAACATATGTCTTTTTCACAGGAGTAGTGTCATGGAGTGTGATGTGCATATTTAAAGACGGGATACATCCTACATCTTTGTCATCATAAGCAAAAGCGTGACACTCCTCGTGTAGCAGCTGCTTTACTACTTTCTGCTGGTGAGGACTGAGATGGTCAAGTTTAACTGGGGGATCCCACTGAGGTGGCTTATGGTGGGAGTGGGAGTTGCTGGTAACCTCATTTACCCGGGCCTGAATACCACAATCCTTATCGAGTCTCTCAGGTGTGTTTTCAGGACTTTGGGCTGTAACTGGATACACTGCTTTAATTTCTTCTAGGTGACCCAGAATGGTGTGAGGAGACAAGGTAAGGTCTTGCTTGTTTGCATTTACAATGTATATAGGGATATATACTGACCTCCCCTGTGTGACAGTAACTAGTCCTTCTTGTATCACCAGGCCCTCAGGTAGCTGTGACAGTTCATCTGGAACAAAAAGGACACTTTGGCCTGCATACTGGGCTCCTACATTTGCACGGATGTAGGCGGTGCTTATTTGAGCTGCTGGCAGGCGAATCTCCTTCTTCCCTGTGTGAGCTGTTCCAACCCTTTCATTGCCTCGGTTAGTCTGCAGAATCTTGACTATGGACCTGGCTGCTTTGACTGACACGGAGAATGTCTGACTGATTTTCTGTATATGCTTTGTTCTCAAATGTCCTTTGTCCCACAAGCCCACTACTTCTTCAATTACATTGAACCCTATAATAGGTTGTTCTGCAACGTTGGAATCACTTGAGACTAAAATGGGAACAAGCAATGTCTTTGTGGGGTGGGTGTCACAGTCCAAGTAAAATTCAGTCTCTATCCAGCCAATGTATGGTATTTCAGTACCGTTCGCTGCTAAGGCTACAAGTGGTTCAGATAAGAGTTCTGCAAGGGGTCTTAGTATGCTGAGAGGGAGGTGTTTCTTCCTCCATTCATCGTTTATTAAACTTACCTGAGCCCCGGTGTCCCATAGAGCTTCCACTGGTACATTATCAAGTTGGCACTGGACAACACATCTTCTTCCGATGAGACTGATGAGCTTGGTTTGGCGCTGTGAGGGCATGTAACAGTTAGACTGTGGAGAAATCATTGTGTCTTGGTGCTCACCTGATGGTTTTAGTAAGCATTCAGGGTTGGCCTGTAGGGATGCAAAGTCAATGTGGGACCTGGAAAGTGGCTGGGCTACTGTTGGTCCCCCTCCAGCAACCCCTTCCCGTTTCCCTGCAAATTTCTCTGTCTGCAGCCACGAGAAAGATGTCCTTCTTGTCCACATCTGAAGCAGTGTCGACAGGTGTCACCAGTCCCAGCTTCTCTGCATGCCTGGCATCCTTTAGCTCTAGCGAATGTGCGCTTTGGTGCCGCTGCCCCAGACTCAGTATACAGTTTCTTAATTTCCTGGACATCTGCTTTGAGACCTTCAATCAGCTTCACAGTCTCTGGATCTGGCCCTCTACTCTGCACTTTCTTCTTGCTACTTTTGTCACTTCCTTTACTCTGTCTTTCATCTTGTATGTCGTTGTCACTGTCTTGTGATGGATAGTTATGAATGGGCTGCACCTCTGCTTGTATTTCATTTACTCTGGGTGGTTTGACTGGTACATGTCTTTTAAGTTTGTTTTGTCGCTCTATTTCAAGGCTTGAAGCTTCATTTATCTTTTCAATTAAAACTTCATCTCTCACATTTGGTGTGCTCAGATATGGTTTTAACTGGAACTTTACTGCTTCGCTCAACAAACCTGTCTCGAGGGACCGCAGGAATTTGCGTTGGATCAGATTTGGGCTGAACTGTTCCCCTTCATCTTCTTCGCCAGACTTGTAGAGCAGTTTCTCTCTCAACTCTATTGCTCTAAACAGGAATGCTTGAGCAGACTCTTTAGGGTCTTGGGAAATGTTCATGAGCCTGTGCAGCAGGTCTGATGATGAGTCAACTTTGTAGTGTCCTCTTAAGATGATTTTGAGAGTGGAGAGCGTGAGGTCCCGCTTCACTTCCAGCAGATCTCTGAGGTGAAGGCCAGGGCTGACAGCTTTGATGACAGCTTCGATGATTTCGTATTCAGAGTATCCCTTCTTGATGCCTGACTCAATCTGATTATTTAGACTGGTGAAAGAAAGCTTGTCTTTCTGCCCCGCTTCCCCAATCTGGCCCCATATTTTAAAGTCTTTCTTTAATGTGACTTCAGGCACTCTGTGGGTTGCAGGTGGATTTGCCCCTCTTTCACTGGTTGCTGCCATGCTATTCAGCTTTGCCCCCAAAGCTCCAATCTTCTCCTCCAGAATGCGACGTTCTTCTGCCTGCGCCTTCTGAAGTTGCTCGTATTCCTGCTTAAGTTTTTCAATAGCAGCATTCTCTGACTTTTGCGATTTAGGTTCAACTGTATCATGTGCTCCGAATGACTGTACAACTGACTTGAGTTCATTAACAAACTCTAGGAACGCCAGGGGGTCACCATCTTCATCATCTTCAATTTCAACAATTGTGTATTCCACCACCTTTATCAGAGCGCGGCGGGTCATTCCATCAAACCCTTCACCTGCCGGTCTACTGCACTTAAGATGATGGCACACTTTGATGAGCTCTGGTTTCCCCAATGTCCACAGTGTTGCGATGATCTCATCCAGTTCTTGTTCCATGTTGATTTTTGTTTTACTTCTAGGTTCGACTCTCGGGTAGGTTGTCTCAGGAAGCTTCTTTTAGCTCCTGGCTGGCTCGCCAAGATTATGTTACCCCCGTGAAGACAGACACAGGCTGGGGTGTAACATTGGGTTTTTTTATTCTGTAAACAGAAACATATATAGTTTTCAGACGCGGCTTTGCCTCCGTGGACTTCAGTTGAAAACCTTACGCAGAACTGAGCTAACTCTGCCTTTATACTATGCAGACTCATATTTTAGTTATAACACAGTTGCTTGTCTTACAGTCTCTTTAACATGTTTTTTACAAAAAGAAAAACAAGCTTAAACTTGACATAAACGTTACAAATTACAGATCTCCAGTACAATAAAAGTACTTATTTACCAATAGACCAGTCACAATATATCTACTCAACTACTACGATGAACCTATATAGGTAATAGAAAATAACTGCAACAAATCGGACCATCGTCTATATTTAACTGGACGCTAACGGTAGTTAGCAGTTAACGTTTTGTACAAAGAACCTAAAAATACAATTTCAATAAATAAAACATCGTCCCGAAATTACAAGTAGTCCCACTAATGTTACCCAGCTAGAGTGCTTAGTGTACTTAACCCACCTGTAAACAGAAACATATATAGTTTTCAGACGCGGCTTTGCCTCCGTGGACTTCAGTTGAAAACCTTACGCAGAACTGAGCTAACTCTGCGCGAGACCAGGACGTTAGTCTCCTACTTACGTGCCACTACTGCCATCTTCTGGCGCAAATTAACATAGCACCAGAAACGGGTAAATAGTACACAGCCAAAATTAAGAAACATTAGTAGTAAAATAAAAGGGTTAATTAAAATGAAAATTAATTGGGGGGTATCTTATTATACTTAAACAGTCCTGGGGGGGGGGGGGGGGGGGGGGGGGGGGGAGTAGGCACACGGCTCTAGTTGTGCTTTCTGTGTGTATGACGTAAGGCTGGATGTTTGAATTGTCCATTTACAATCAAACTGTTGTCGGATGTGGAAGAACAGGTTCTTCGGAACCGGGTTTAAAAGGAGACCACAGAACAGTTAAAAACAAGTAAAAGAATAAAAAGCAATAAAAACCTAGGCTAAAAACATGGAATAAAAGCTAAAATAGAGGCTAAAAATCCTTCTCCTGGCCACAGCCTGGGCCGCCAGACCACGGGGCTCTCCCCTCACGTGTCTGGCCCGTGTCTCACTCTCCAGCTTCCTCCCTTCTCCCTCCCCATCTCCGCTTTTATGCTCAAGAGGCAGGTGTCTTGATTGTCCTGTCACTTGGGGAGCCGGGGTGCTTCGGGTGGTGCAAGTCAGTCAAATATTAAAAACATGCGTAAAAAGTCTAAAAACACCCTCAGACACAATCCTCAAACTGTCCAGGCACTAAACGGCTTTTTAACTATGTAGCATTTGTGCTTGCACATGATAACCTGGAACATGGCCAAAAAAAAAGCCAAACACATTTTCTGGGGGACACTTTAACAAAATGAAAATTTATCATTTATCATAATTTATCATTGAAAATGTATAAATTACATACAGTCCCAGAAGTGTCTATGAATGTCAAGAATCGGTATGGGCGGGCCCAGTGGCTACAGTAAGAGGATAGCACTCTTGCTTCTCAGCTAGAAGGTCCTAGGTTCGAATCCCAGCCAGAACAGGGCCTTTCTGAGTGGAATTTGTATGTTATGCGTAGGATTCCTCCGTGTGCTCCAGTTTCCCCTACCTCTGGAAGGGTCAAAGAATTCATGTACAAAAGGTCCGGCATGTGCCTCCTGTACTGGTGACCTCGGTCCCATCTCTGTGTGGAGTCAGAGACAATTTCTCACAATTGTAAAGTGCTTTGTGACTCTGGTCTATGAAGGCGCTATATAAATAAAGATTACTTAAAAGATTAAGTCCCATTAGATGTACATAGTGTTAACCCTCCCAATTAAATTTAAATGACAGTAAGAATTTGATAATAGGGGAAAATTATCATATGGGGTCCTAATATACAATCCTGACTTTTTTTGAGAAAGAGAACTTCACAGGCAATGCATTCTGGGATGTTGCAGATTTGTAGTAAATTGAGCTGACCCGGAGGAGATATAATCTACTATTTGGCATCTATATATATATATATATATATATATATATATATATATATATATATATACTTTCTTTTTATGAAGTTTTCAAATTATCAGAGGTTTGTAGAGATACTGACTTGAAATTGATGCCTAGAAAATCTATTTCGGTGAAACCAAGGAGACTGACATATTGGAAATGAGACAGCATCGTCCCGTGGTGAGCAAGTGGAAAACTGTGCGTTGGTAAAGCTCAACTAAGTCCAGCAATGGCACTGAGTCAAAAAAGGTAAAAAATATGGATATGATAAAGTAGCAAATCTGTAACGCCTGCCTGGAGTGTATTTCCCTTTCCAGGCCAATAGCGGCACAGCCATAGTGTGAAAGCTTGTGACGAGAATATCAATCTAAAAAGATCTATTAAAAAAAACATGATTCCATATTCTTATTGATGACGATGTAGCAACTCACTGCAATAATGCTTGATTTACCTTCTGGATGTTTGTACAGGTGTGTGATGTCATTGCGTTCGTCTGATCCCACTGCTTTGGTGCTGATGCAGTGTCCGACTGCCTTCTTCTCGCTGTAGATTTGGGAAAATGTCCCATCTATTTTCCTCTGCCAGTAGATTTTGTCGCTGTTGACCTAAAGCAACAACAAACACTGAAAAATGTTCACTAAAGGAAAGAGGACATATTATGTATAATTTTGAAATGGACCATATGGTAATTAATATTAATATGCAAGGCACACACAACCAAAACATCGCAAACAACAGTGAGATCAGTGAGCCACACTGTAGGTCAAGATTATGAGGAATAAGTGAGCCTCCATACATCTGAATAATGTATTGATTTTTTTTTGCTACCATTCCTTTCTGAAAATATAGTCTCTGTATATACATACTCTGTATGTATTCTGAACCTGCATCCCACACTGTATGGCTCTATGTATGGCAATTTCAGACAATTATTGTTCCATTTCAGCTCAATATTATTGTTATATTTAGTGAATGACTTTTCTATAATGCAAGACCTCACAAATTAATACTCACAACTCTTCTTATATTAGTTAAAGATATGTTTTTTATATATATTTCCATGAATTGAAATTATGGGGATGGTGTGAAAACAGAATGTGTATGTATAGTAAACTCTTGTCTGTAATTACTTTATTATTTCCAAATAACTATTACAGATGTTTGAATTAAGTTTCTTTTTGTCGAACATTCATATCTAAAATTAAAATAGATGTATTAAGAGATAGCTAATGAGAAGATAACACCTTACCAAACCCAATTACACAAACAAAAGTGCATTTTTAAAGAAAGAAGAGGCAAATTCACAGGTCCTTGGTCAAATAAATATGTAAGATCATGATGCTTACATGTTACTTAGCTGGTGCTATGTGAATTGCACCAGCCCCCCCCCCCTTTCATGCTTTTGATTACATACAATATAATATTGTGAACTACTGGCTTTTTCTCTTTTCTGCACTGCAGGGGGAAGTAGGATCACCAGGTCTCTGAGGACATGCAGGAAATTGCAGAAAATGCGAGTAACAGTGAGATGAGAAGTGCTATCAGACTACCTGCTGGGAGGTCACTGCTGTCTCTCTGCGCGCCGTGCCTTATTAAACCATACATTAACCTCATAGAGTAATTGTGAGTAACCCTGCACAGACCTCGGCAAAGACAAAGGCAGCGTCGTGCTTGAGGTAGACTTGGCCGTGTCGAACAGCAGTCAGTGAGGCCGGGCCGCAGCGGAAAGTGCCCTGGCTGGTCTCCTGGGGCGTGGCGTCTACAGCCTGCCAGCCCCCCATGCCCTCAGGCAGGTCGGAACGCGCCATCCAGCAGTCATTCCACACATGGAAGTTCCTGCGGGGACACAGTTGGCAAAGAAGCCCAAAAAACAAAGTTTGAGCGATGAAAAACTCACCACACTGAGTCTGTGTTGAGAAGGTCCAGAGGGTCCAGGTTCTCATCTAAATACACGTCTGTTGTCAAGGAGACGTCCGTGTCATGGGCAGACTTATAGTTGGTCACTGTCCGACAGGGAATTCCTAAACACCTCAAAACTGATAAAAAAAATTGTCAGGAAGTCATCTAGGTGTTTTTGTTTTTAAACATAGCAGATCTTTTCTACTTCCTAAACTGTTCTGGTGATGTGGTCCAATACCCTTGCGATACATTTGTGCTATATTTCTTGAAATGTACTTTTCGCAACAATGGAGGATTTTAGGGGTTCAGATAAATACCATAAATTAAGGATTATAAACATCTATTTTTTTCCTTCTCTTCTTTGAACCCTGTGGCTTATTTATCGACTGAGGCTTATGTTCAGGTGCAGCTTATATGTGGTAACCATTTGTGTTCTTTTAAAATGCTGGTACGGATTATTTACAAAGTGCTCCCAATAGTGCAGAAAGTACGGTCATTTTCACATTGACTCGCCTCTCCACTGCTATAACTTGAAGTCACATGATTGTTTCCAGTTTAAAAGAAAAGTTTATTAAGAACGTTTAACCCTTGGAAATAGCAGGCAGCCCCAGGACAGTTGAGGGATCTACCTTACCTGTCGTGACCACTCCGGCAAAGACCCAGCACTGTCCGTAACGCACAGGGGTGCCATTGTTACTGTGATACTGCTGGAGGATTTCCACACTTCCCGTCCAGATCGTAGGAGCGGAGCCGCCTGCATAGTTCCCAGACCAATTTCCTTGGATTACTCCAAAATCATCCACTGAGTTCACCTGAACACAAATCACTGTTTCAACCCTCAAGGCAGTTGTTTGGTATTTGTTGTTGCTGTTTAGGAAGAAAAAGGGAAAAAGTGAGAGCAGGCATAGAGACCTTCTCCCCAACATGAGCCGCTGCTCCACTACAACTCCCTTGTCGCACTAACACACTGCTCTTATAGGAGTACAAGAGATGAAGAAGGGGACAGTAAATATAGGGCTCTTTTACAACTATTCTGCCAAGTTTGAATGATTTCTTGTTTTTCAGAGGGCTGAGCCACCTTTACATTTTAGGCTTGTCTTTATGTGTACCATCACTCCACCATTTTTTTTTTTCACAAGTAGCATACGTATGTGCATCTGAGGGAAAGGCTGCATCTGAATTGCACAACAAAAATATGTTTGAGCGACTCTCATGGGAAAACTGAGTACAATATTATCAATGATGACACAATGGAGCAAATTGGGAATCAGAAAAGGGGGTGCCAAAGGATAACCTTGCCTGCAAGCTGAATTCTCGCGGTATTTGTGAGTTCACAAACACTCGAGAATACATCTTGTACCGCTCCCGCTTACACTTTTCGAGTCGAACCACTGGGTGTGCGAGCCAATCACGCGCCAGTCTGGGGGTTTAGGGCGGGATATGCGGGTTTGACGAAAACAAGAAGTGCCGGGCCGAAGCAAAACAAACATGGCTACGCAGGAGGACGGACGCGTAGCTGAGGCTATCAAGTCAGTTTTAGCAGAATCTCCAATTTCTTTTTTGAAAGATGAACAGCGAGAGGCGCTTTGTGCATTACTGGACGGCAACCTTGGTAGGCGGGCACACAGCGTCACTTCGCCCAATCAGCTTGAAGTATTCTGCTGCTTATCCCTCCTTTCCCCGAAAGGATTCTCCGGGAGAAATCCCAGATTGATATCGTGGAGAACGCGTTAGAGTTCTACACAATCATCAATCTGGCTCTTGCCAGGTTAGCCAAAGGAACCACTGCACCTAACTGGGACTGGCCTTCTGCCGGTGCCCAGAGTCAGAACTATACATGGGGAAGCAGCCTTTCAGATTTATGCAACTCAAATCTGGAACAGTCTTAAAACAGTTCTTTTAATGTGATTATATAAGTTATATTACAACAAAACAATTAGGAAAAACCGAAACAATTATTTCTCAAAACTAATCACCCAAAACAAAAACAATGCGAAAGCCCTATTTTCAACCATTGACACCATTTTAAACCTTGATTTTAGCATGTCTCGTTTAACCCCCACAGACTCCCTTTGTGAGGATTTTGCAGTCCACTTCATGGGGAAGATAAATACAATCAGATGTAACATTTTATCCAATCGTACTACTGTTTTTAACACATCTGATTGTTTGTCTTCACCAGAGGAAACACTGGACAGTTTTGTCCTGGTTGATGCTGAGATGCTTGATAAAGATTTCTCCTCAGTGAGGCCCACCACATGTCTTTTAGATCCAGTCCCCACTCCATTTTTTAAGTCATTTTATGAATCTTTTAGAGAGGAGCTTTTAAACCTGATGAATTGCTCTCTTCAGACTGGGGTCTTTCCTGCAGCCTTCAAAGCGGCTGTGGTGAGGCCCCTTCTGAAGAAGAGCAATTTAGATTTTAATGATCTTAACAACTACAGACCGGTATCCAACCTGCCATTTTTAAGCAAAATTTTAGAAAAACTTGTTTTTACCCAGCTCAATGCCTTTTTAGATCAGCAGCAAATTTTAGAGACATTTCAATCAGGTTTTAGGGTGAACCACAGCACAGAGACGGCTCTTTTAAAGATTTTAAATGATTTTAGATTAAATTATGATTCTAAAAAGGTGACCGTGTTGGTTCTACTGGATCTTAGCGCTGCCTTCGACACAGTAGACCACACCATTCTTTTATCACGCCTGAACCACCTTGGCCTCTCTGGTGCTGTCCACAAATGGTTCACTTCTTATTTAACAGACAGATCCTTCATGGTAAGTTTGGATACCTGCTCCTCTCAGGTCCATGAAATCACATGTGGTGTGCCCCAGGGTTCCATTTTAGGTCCAGTCCTTTTTAACCTGTACATGCTCCCTCTTGGCGGTGTCATCAGGAGACATGGAATTAACTTCCACAGTTATGCAGATGATACTCAGCTGTACATCTCCATGTCTCCTGATGACACCAGGCCAATGGATGCTCTTTTTAACTGCATTTTAGACCTGAAATCCTGGATGGCAGAAAACTTTCTCCAGCTTAACCAGGACAAAACTGAGGTTTTAGTCATCGGTCCTGAGGCCCAGAGAGAGAAACTTTTACCAAAAATCACACTCTTTTAATCCATCACCACATGTGAAAAACCTGGGCGTAATATTTGACTCTGAGCTGACTTTTATTCCTCACATTAAGAATATAACAAAAATAGGTTTTTATCATTTGAAGAACATCGCCAGAGTCCGCCCCATTCTCTCTCGGGGCAACACGGAGACGCTGATGCATGCTTTTATCACCAGTCGCATTGACTATTGTAATGCCCTGCTCTCTGGTCTTCCCAAAAAGAACATTGCAAGTCTTCAATTATTCCAAAACTCGGCAGCAGGTGTCCTGACTAAGACCACGGGGTGGGACCACATTACACCGGTTTTAAAATCGCTGCATTGGCTCCCCATGTGTTTCAGGATCGATTTTAAGGTTCTCCTAATCGTTTTTAAATGTCTTAATGGTCTTGGGCCTTCTTATCTTTCAGAACTGCTTTTATCCTATGAACCTTCCCGGCCCCTGCGCTCCTCCGGCAGCAGACTCCTAACCATTCCAAAAGTCAGGACACACACTCACGGTGAGGCGTCTTTCCAGCACTACGGCCCCCGTCTCTGGAACAGTCTGCCGGAGGAGCTCAGGGCCGCAGAGAACATTCATATTTTTAAAGCCAGGCTCAAGACACACCTTTTTAGATTAGCTTTTTAGATTAGCTTTTGATTAGTATTTATTAGTCCATTTTTATATATTCTATTTATCTTTTATTATTTATTATATTGCTATTGCTTTTATTCATGTTTTGTGTGATAGTTCCTTTCAGCCTCACATTTTAGTGTTTTACTTATTGTATTGTTTTTAGTATCCCCAGTGTTTCCTCTGGAGGAGCCCTCTGCGCTGGGAGCGGTGGTTGGCTGTGGCTGTGGGGGTCGGACTCTTGGACCTGGTGGGGGCCCGGGGCCTCGGTTTTGGGTCTCCTCTGGGTCCTGTGTCGTCCCCTTTGGCTATGGGCGGCTCTCTGCTCCTGGCGCTGACGGCTCCTTGGATGGCGTTTCTTCAGCCGGTTGCATCTGAACCCTGCCAAGTCTCTTATCATCGTTTTATTGTTTTATCGGTGCGTGTGTGTGTGTGCGCGTGTGTGTGTGTGTGGGGGGGGGGGGGGGGGGGGGGGCATGGGCAGGATTGTTTTTTAGCCAAACTGTAAAGCATTTTGTGTTGCATTTGTTGTATGAAAAGCGCTTTATAAATAAACTTTGATTGATTGATTGATATTTAGACTTTTACACATCTCCTTCATGCTGTTGTTTGTCTGAGTGCATGATGTCGACTGTAGACTATGCTGACCTTGTCCTGGAGCTACCTCGTCTCATAAAAGGTCAGTTTTAAAGCACAGGTAAAGACAAGGAAGGGTAGTGAAGGAGCTATGTTTGCCGGATTTGGATGCAGCCTTTGTTTTGGCTGTATTTGGTTCACTTAATCAATTGAACTTTAAACTGTTGCATTTTCACAAGAATCATTTCAAAAGAAAGGTTTGATTTTGAGACTTGTCCGAGGTATACTAAAAAAGAAACCAAGAGCAAAAGTCTAATAATACATCTGCAGCACAATTTAATGAACATTAACTGCCACACACACTCCATGATGAGAGATACTGTGGAAAATAAAAAAATGAAATCCATATGATCATATGTGTGTATATATCTATATATGTATATATATATATATATATATATATATATATATATATATATATATATATATATATATATATATATATATATATATATATATATTAGACAAAGGGTAGAAGAAAGCCTTGAGAACTACCAAGGGCTCAGAGAAGAGCTGGAGAGGGCCTGGAGGGTAAAGGTGACAGTAGTGCCCGTGGTGATCGGTGCACTCGGGGCAGTGACCCCGAAGCTGGAGTGGTTACAGCGGATCCCTCACTGCCCCCCTCACTGGCACCCTGTCACAATCAGGGTTGCCGTTAAGATTCTGATGCATTTGTATGTTTTTGCTTTTAACTCCATAACACCTTACCTTTAACAAAGTTCCACTCCTTTGCATGTTTTTACTGTGTATTTCATTCTGTTTTCTTCTCTAGTAAATTTCTCCTGTGTGAGATTAATAAAGTCTTGTCTTATCTTATCTTACCTTGTTTCATTTGTGATGTGATACATTTTTGGCGGCTGGAGGTGTTGTAAATGTGCCATACAAACAAGCTGACATTGACATTGACATATATATTTACCATGGCTGAAACAATCCTGACCACATTAATCGGGTCTCCCCACCCCGACGCTGGAGTCCCGCTCTTCTCCAGAATGTAGAGACATGCAACCAAAACCCCATCTGCAAACTAAAATGAAGGCAAAGACAGCTCCACTTTAGAATTCATGTTCCATATACTCCTATATTCTCGGAGAGTGACTGCTTTGTCGAGCACAACATCAACAAGCATTTTTTACACACGCAATGTCACACTAAATTTGAGTGATATATATAAAATTATAAAATTGTGAGTGTATAAATGTTGGCCGCTTTGGCCACCTGTCTAGTACAGTATACAGGTAGAATAAGAATATAGAACATGTTTACTTATTTCTGTAATTCAACTTAATAGACTTATTACCCACAAAGTATGTACTGTATATGCCAAGCCTTTGTTATGATTTTGATAATTAAGACTTACAGTTCATTTTAAAAAGATGAAGAACGTTTTATCTATTCATTTATTTATTGGCATGTGACAGTGCATGTCAATGAACAGACATATTAGAAACGTGAATGTAAACATGCCAGGTTATAGCCAAAGGCTAATTTTCATCTGTAATCCCATGGAGTTAGGGTCACATGGTTGAATAAAAACATAGCTTGCATTCCCGCACAAACAAAGGCTTGATATATCTCAATCTTTGTGTGTAATAAAAGAAGTGTTATGTTTTTTAACCCTTCAGGCACCAAAGTAGCAGTATTGCTGCGCAGGCTTCTAAAACCAGGACACTTTACATACAACGACATGGCTTCCCACAAACAATCCCTAAATTTCTCAAAGATAATTTTTTTCTATGTAATTTCATTATAGATTAAGGTATTCCACTATCTACTATTAAGTTACATGGTGTAAATTGTTTTCACAATACATTTCTCAATAAAATACTGGTGCCTAAAGGGTTTTTATCTCAATCTTGGCCCGTCAGTGAACTCGCCTGTCCATAGTCCCAGGTCCTGTATCCGATCTGCTGCTCTGTGCCGTAGTAAATGAGTCCAACGTCGTTCAACACGTACTCCTGTCTCTCATCTTCAGAGTCCATAAAAACCGTGTCCTCTGACAGCAGCACACACAGAACATCATTAAAACTGCCACTGACACGAACTGTGGCCGAGCACGCTGCATTTAAACCAGTGCCATTGACATTCTGCAGAGAGCATTTAAAAGTGACCTTTTGTGCACAGAACGCCTGTATTACTGTGTTTTTGTCATGTCTGCAGGCTTCAGTGGAGCTCATCAGCATACAGAGAAAACAGGACCATGTTGAAAAATGGCGTTGTTGAAAGGCGTAAAAGATCGAATTGAACATTTTGTCTTATTTTGGCAACTCTGGAGGCTTTGTCTATGGAGTCTGTGGAGTCTGCCAGGTCCCCAGGTTTCCTTCTCCAATAGATTCGATGCATCACTGATCCACTCAGGATGAGGTAGTGTGTGCTTTTTACAAGATTAACAATGGGACATAAACTAAAAACACGTTTTTACAGGATTTTATACAGTAGATCAACATAATGAGAACCATAAGACTTTACTACTATGCTTTGTAGGAATTAAATGTGACACTGCCCATTTATCTTGACCTGACTCATATTTAGCTTCAGTTGCAGCGTACACTTAGTTTCTGCAATGAAGAACGAATGAATTGAATGTGACTGATGTACAAAGCCTTCTCCAGCACATTACAAACTATTACACTTTTCTCAATGGGGTACAGATCTGGTTTTGCCATTTTGGTGCAAAAACATCTCTCACTTCAAACCACTCAACAAAATATTCTCTAATATTAATTGAATCCAGTCTGTCTCATCTTGAAATAAACCCGTTAGAAAGAGTATCAGTCCTCATCAATTTGAATGTTTTGTGTATATTGTACATGACTACATATATACAATTGTCACTCTCTTGTTGGTATTGAACTGTTTGTGTAAGTCAAAGAGAAGCTCAGTCAAAATAAATAGCATCTGTGATTTTTTTTTCCAAAACTGCCTCTCACCTTCACACCAGGGGTTAAAGAGAAGGTAGACGTCGTTTGCTGGGTCATGCATGAACTCTGCTTGGCCGTGCGGACACACGGTGTGCACGCTGAGCTGGTATCGACCGATGTTCGCCGTGGGCAGAGTATTTACTGAGAGCAGCATCCTTTTGTCTTCCTGTTTGAGCACAAAAGCCTCCCAGCAGTTGTCCTCTGGCTCCTCCACCAGAGGGACGATCACATGAGTGGCTTTGGAGACCAAAGGGACTGAACCTGAAAATACAGCATAAACATCCACTTATCAACCCATAATAATTTGTATGATGTTTGATGGCATGTATAATATTTTTGGTTTGTGAAATGTCTTCCCACTGATGTTTGCTGTTGTTATGTTCCTGGGCAAGACACCGCTGAACCACCAAGGTCGTATGGGTTTTATTGATGGACCAACACCTGCAGGAGAATCAGTGAGGGGCTGGTGCTTTGAGAATTGGCAGCTCTGATTGCCACCCCCTTGACCCAGAAATCCAATAATAAAGAGGATAAAAATGAATGACTGAATGAATTAATCAATGAAATCTCCTTTTTCTTGATTCAAAAGAACAGCACCAGTTTTTGACTAATCACACTTTTGGTGAAAGTATTTCCGAGAGTCTCTTATTATAGTTAGACTTTCAAGACAGTATCCTTACGGTATTGAGAAGATCCAGACCCTACTCTCAAAGCCACACCTGCATTCCTCCACACTGGGTGCATTAAAACTAAATCCCTTGCACAAATACAGTTTTATCACTTTTTTAGATTCCTGGGACGAGGTATGACCTTTCTAACCCAAACCCAGGCTGAACCCATAATGTATAACTGTGGTTTTATCTGTTAAATCTCTTTTTGACTCAGTAAATACAGTACAATACATGTGCAGACACGGCATGTCAGGCAGGGCTGATCCTTGTAGCTGCTGTTTCTGCTATGCCAGCACTTTGTTCTAAAAGTTACTGTGACTCCAGAGAACGGCTCAAGTGATGTTCATAATATATGTTAATATATTCTCCATTATTTAAAAGTGAACGGAAAAGTACAATTAGGTCACAGCCCAAAGAAGACAAACTCTGAGTGATTTACATCCCACTTGGGTGTGACCTTGTCTTACAATGGTGTCTGCAAATACCATCGTGTGCTGCAATGTCATCTCATGATCGGCTATCACTCTCTCTGCTGACAAACCAGCCCTGAATAAGTAAAAGGAAGTCTCTATATTAATGCATTACAAAATAGAGAAACCTCACCTTAAGTACACACAGGGGACAATAACAGCAGGTGAGACGGCGCTAACGCAAGACGAGGAAAGTGCTAAGGGCAAAACTCACAGCATCACAATTATTAGTCTCCAGAGGATCAGATCTACATTGAGCTCTTTGAAACAAAATTAAGACTTTGCACACTTTATACAGTGTAAGTGAAGTCACATAAAGAGCAAGTGCTATGATTTGGGTTTTATCATTACCATGCATTGTGTGTATTTGTCCCGACATATTTTTTATTGTTTATTAAAAAGTCCCATTGAGTGTAAAGACCTCATTTTTCAAGGGAGTCTTGGATGTATGAAAGCCAGATCCTGTTAGACTTCAGCTAAGCAGGGCAGGGCAGGTTAGTACTGCGATGGGAGACCTCTTCGAACTCCAGGTGTCACAGTGAAATGCTGCAGGCAAGACCCACTAGTTTGACGTGTGTGTGCGTGAATCATTGGTGCTTGGCCAACAAAATGTTTTGGACAGAATAATTTGCCGCTATGACTCGTGTGGCCCCCAGGACTGTTTAAGTATAATAAGATACCCCCCAATTAATTTTCATTTTAATTAACCCTTTTATTTTACTACTAATGTTTCTTAATTTTGGCTGTGTACTATTTACCCGTTTCTGGTGCTATGTTAATTTGCGCCAGAAGATGGCAGTAGTGGCACGTAAGTAGGAGACTAACGTCCTGGTCTCGCGCAGAGTTAGCTCAGTTCTGCGTAAGGTTTTCAACTGAAGTCCACGGAGGCAAAGCCGCGTCTGAAAACTATATATGTTTCTGTTTACAGGTGGGTTAAGTACACTAAGCACTCTATGGGTAACATTAGTGGGACTACTTGTAATTTCGGGACGATGTTTTATTTATTGAAATTGTATTTTTAGGTTCTTTGTACAAAACGTTAACTGCTAACTACCGTTAGCGTCCAGTTAAATATAGACGATGGTCCGATTTGTTGCAGTTATTTTCTATTACCTATATAGGTTCATCGTAGTAGTTGAGTAGATATATTGTGACTGGTCTATTGGTAAATAAGTACTTTTATTGTACTGGAGATCTGTAATTTGTAACGTTTATGTCAAGTTTAAGCTTGTTTTTCTTTTTGTAAAAAACATGTTAAAGAGACTGTAAGACAAGCAACTGTGTTATAACTAAAATATGAGTCTGCATAGTATAAAGGCAGAGTTAGCTCAGTTCTGCGTAAGGTTTTCAACTGAAGTCCACGGAGGCAAAGCCGCGTCTGAAAACTATATATGTTTCTGTTTACAGAATAAAAAAAACCCAATGTTACACCCCAGCCTGTGTCTGTCTTCACGGGGGTAACATAATCTTGGCGAGCCAGCCAGGAGCTAAAAGAAGCTTCCTGAGACAACCTACCCGAGAGTCGAACCTAGAAGTAAAACAAAAAATCAACATGGAACAAGAACTGGATGAGATCATCGCAACACTGTGGACATTGGGGAAACCAGAGCTCATCAAAGTGTGCCATCATCTTAAGTGCAGTAGACCGGCAGGTGAAGGGTTTGATGGAATGACCCGCCGCGCTCTGATAAAGGTGGTGGAATACACAATTGTTGAAATTGAAGATGATGAAGATGGTGACCCCCTGGCGTTCCTAGAGTTTGTTAATGAACTCAAGTCAGTTGTACAGTCATTCGGAGCACATGATACAGTTGAACCTAAATCGCAAAAGTCAGAGAATGCTGCTATTGAAAAACTTAAGCAGGAATACGAGCAACTTCAGAAGGCGCAGGCAGAAGAACGTCGCATTCTGGAGGAGAAGATTGGAGCTTTGGGGGCAAAGCTGAATAGCATGGCAGCAACCAGTGAAAGAGGGGCAAATCCACCTGCAACCCACAGAGTGCCTGAAGTCACATTAAAGAAAGACTTTAAAATATGGGGCCAGATTGGGGAAGCGGGGCAGAAAGACAAGCTTTCTTTCACCAGTCTAAATAATCAGATTGAGTCAGGCATCAAGAAGGGATACTCTGAATACGAAATCATCGAAGCTGTCATCAAAGCTGTCAGCCCTGGCCTTCACCTCAGAGATCTGCTGGAAGTGAAGCGGGACCTCACGCTCTCCACTCTCAAAATCATCTTAAGAGGACACTACAAAGTTGACTCATCATCAGACCTGCTGCACAGGCTCATGAACATTTCCCAAGACCCTAAAGAGTCTGCTCAAGCATTCCTGTTTAGAGCAATAGAGTTGAGAGAGAAACTGCTCTACAAGTCTGGCGAAGAAGATGAAGGGGAACAGTTCAGCCCAAATCTGATCCAACGCAAATTCCTGCGGTCCCTCGAGACAGGTTTGTTGAGCGAAGCAGTAAAGTTCCAGTTAAAACCATATCTGAGCACACCAAATGTGAGAGATGAAGTTTTAATTGAAAAGATAAATGAAGCTTCAAGCCTTGAAATAGAGCGACAAAACAAACTTAAAAGCGTATGGGACTTCACGGAGACCGGAGAGATTAACAATTCAGGAGATTAACTCCGCCTATTTGAGCATTGTCTGGTCCTCCCGTTCTGCGCAGTGGACGACTCCCATGAAGCGTTGCGCCAAATACGTGTGTGTGGCTTTCATGCATCGTGCACAGAGGGCTCGGCCGCGCTTTGACTGGTAGTAAAGTGTAAATTTTAAGAAAACCGAAAGATGTAAGAAGAAAAAAAAGTTCAGGATGACAAGGGACAACTAAAATCCCCACAAAATCCGACCTTTATGAAAGCATGTAGGTTCTCTGTCAGGTCTCGTCAGCTGAGGTCCGAGCTGTTTTAGTTTACATTGAGTTCTATGGACTTTTTTCCGCGTACCCTCGTAATTAAGTCTGCATAACCTCGGGTCGCCCCCTGTGCCCGTGGGTGGACAGCTATAAGCTTTTATAACCCTATATTATTAAGATCCTTGTTCTTACCAGTCACCTGTGATGTGTAGATGAGAAACACCCGCAAAAAGTGGAAAAGAGCACATGGCCGGCCTCCTATGCGAGCTGTTTGTTTCAGTACTGAAGCCACGTATTTATTCTTTCTGTTTTTCCTTTCTGTTTTTAAGAACGATTCATGGTTTCATTTTCCAGACCCCGCCTCCCGCACAGTCCACGCTTTGTCCCCTTGCTTTAGATTCATGGGGATGATTTCATTTTACTTTTAATTCATCGGTGTTTTCTTTATCTCAGACGTTATGAAAACAAATAATGTTTAGGTATACTGTTATTTCGGATGAAAATGGTTCATGGGCCCAGGGAAGGAACCTAGCCGTGCATGGTGGTAGGTCCTGCATAGATTTAAAATGACAGCCAAAGGCCAACTATCTCTCTTCTTAACAAATGAAACATGGGATCGTGAGAAAACTGTGCTCTATGGTTATGCTTACTGATCTAGCTTTACAGTACTGGCAAAATATGTCCCAGGCTCAAAGTGAAATTCACTTTAACCCCACAAGCAACCATCTTTTTCACTTAACCTATCAAAGAGAGAATAAATCCAGTATTAATTTATTTTTCTTTGTTTCAGAAGACATAACACTAGACACAAAACGGGCAGAATCAAAGCATAAAGCAGAACAGGATTCAAACAGTAATAATCAGTATACTAGTGGGTGTGTGTGTGTGTGTGTGTGTGTAATTAGGGATTATTGTAAATTAGGGATTATACCATCATTAGACCACGACCATCCAAACACTATAACTGCTATTCAAAAAAATCTGCTAGTAATAATTTTTACGATGAAAATTGCAACAGCCTGATTTAGCAGTCCAATTACCACACAGCAGCTCCCCCGCCTGCCCTGCACATTGTGGCCGAGAGGTGATGTGTGCACGCCGATGGGAGAGTGTGTGTGGCTCCAGAGGTGAGTGTGGTGCACACACACGCCCATCACACACACGCCCATCACACACACGCCCATCACACACACACGCCCCATCACGCTCCCTTTGTCCACCTTGTGACACCTCTCCACAGCTGCTGCTGCTGCCTCTGTGAAGTCTAAAGGACAGGACGGGCCAGGCCAGAGGACTGCTATAGTCAGATGTACGTGTTAGTCCTCATGGTCTCTGTGGCTAGTTCGGCCAGAGGCGAGACTTTATTAAAGAAAACAAAAACAATGTCCAGAATCACCGTCAAGCCTGCCAACCCTCCTTTTAATATTTGATGTTCAAAAGTGTTGTTGGCATGTGGAGCCAATCTAGAGTCAAAGACTATTAGGACAATAATATTTCCTATGTATTTTGACTGAAAGCCGCATCACTGCGTGTGTAGTGGACGTCATTCAATTTAAAATACAATACTAAGTTTAAAGATGAGTTTTTCTTAATGAAAAATAGAAGGGAAATGATGTCTGCAATATTTATATTTAAGGTTTTCAAGAAGATATTCCAATGAGTGATGTGTCAGCTTAAAAAACATACATTTTTAATTAAAGTATAAGATAAGAAGTCAAATAATAAGTCATACATAATTCATACTCATAATTCTTACCGTTTCTAGATCAACCCCAGCAGGTGATTTGCATCTGTAATCAGTGCTTAGGCGCTTTGTGTGTGACAGGCAGTAAGGTGCTGGCAACAAAAGTTGTATTTAATGACTGTGTTAACCCAGTAACAGTGCAAACTACAGACAGTCCCTAATATCGAGTGTGCTTTCATTGAAATAATTGGGGAAAAATACTGGACATAGCATGTCATTATTGTGCAATTGCGATCCATTAAAAAGAGCAGTTTAAGGCTCACTTGGGGTTGTCAGTCCCAACAACTAATCAACATCTTGCGTATCGGCTTGCAGAAGGCAGCATTTTCAGCTCAGAAGTTCATTCCTCAAACAAACTGCCATTTTGACATATTGACTCATTGTTCACAGGCACAGAGGAGGAGCGTATAGCTGTGGAGACTGCATGTAAATATGGAACCAAAGCTGAAGCCTACACCCCTCCCACTGCCGAGGATGTGTCAGTGGAGGTGTCCATGGATGGGACAGAGCCACAGATGGGGAGAGATGCAGATTTGACCATTACTCTAAACAACAGCAGCTCTGAAAACAGGAGCGTATCGCTACACAGTCAAGCTGCCGTCATGTACTACACTGGAGTGCACAAAGCCTCTGTACGGAAGGACACCACAGACCTCACCCTGCAACCCAATGAAGGTGCTCATACGTGTCCTGTCTTTACAAACACTTATTTCTTTCTACCAATAATATCAATGAATACTATCTTCTATCTATCTTGCCTTCAAGCCCCTTATATCAATTCAAAATGCAAAGCCAGAGATTGCATTTTGTGGCCATTTAGAGATTATGAATGACCACTTATTAGAATGACCACTTGTTGGTTGTGTTCATCCATACATTGTTTTAAAAAAGTGTTTTTATTTCCAAATGATAACATCATTGACTCGGGAGAGCTCTTAATGTGCAATTCATGCAAACCAGTCCTGGAATTTGCAGGAATTGGAGGATTTTTCCAAGAAGAACGGGCAGCATTTTAGCATCAAAAAGGATAAAGAACCTCATCCTCAATTACCACAATGATGGTAATTGTGGAGAAATGGGGGATGGAAACTTCTAATCAGTGTCAGAAGAGGAGTTTCTACTGTCTTTATCATTGGAAAAGTTGAGAATAAATGGCTTCAGACAATCTTTATCAATGAAAAAGTTTCTGCTTGCGTGAGTAAACTTTCATGCACAGCTGTGCACTTATGTAATCTGATATAAACTGTCATTGTTCCTGTCGCATTTGTGAAGATTACAAAAGAGAAGAAAAATCTTTTCTTGGTTTTTCTTCTTTTGAGGGGTACTATATTTTTGTGGTGAGATATCTGTGCTCCTCTCAGACGATTAGGGTTTGATCCTTGGGCTGCCGTTGACTCAATTTCTCTGTGACTTGATCTTCTTGCCCTTTACTTCTCATTCTTTATTAAATCCGTAGCCTCATACCATATGTCCTTTTTGGGTCAGTTTAAACCCTTTTGGCAATGGAAATTTATCAGCACTGACCCGCCCAGTAATGCTCTAGTTGAAACTGGTCTACTTTCTGCTTTTGGCGTCAAAGAAGACAAGTTAGACACATAGCTTTTTAGGAAGAGATGACTCCAAACTTACGCCATCTCCTTCTCTAGAAGGAGTTTGGGTTTGTGTTTGTGCAAAGGTGATTAGCACCCTTCATTTACTGATTTATCATAGATGTCTTATAGAACTGAACAAATAAAATAGCACATTACAATTTACTAATTTACTGTACCCCTGAGTGTTAGACAGTCAATACATACTGTATATATTGGATTATTTCCAATGTCACCTATGTTATAGGTTCTTTTATTCTTTTCATGAAAATGTAAAGAATAAAAGAATTTAATTCTTCTATTTTTCTGCCCCTCACCTAAACAATAACTCAATGCACTCCAACATGCCACCACACACTGGTTGCCAAACAATGGTATGGAATTGTGGTCACAATACAACAGCCATATGATTATTTATCTGCAGTTTCCAGACTGCCCTGTTTTCATCTTTTTTTTTTTCAAGCCATGGACTATATAAGTTGAGTCGCCAATATTTACCCTAGATTTCTTTGCTTGTTTATCTGAGAGGAGCACAACGAAAGCCACCATTGTGACTCTCGAATGATCTGATGCCTATACAAATTTCTGGGTTGCAGTGAAGATGCTGGAGTGGAGTCTAGCGTATGGGGACTATAAGGATGAGCTGGTGGACCAGGCCGCCCTCATGCTCACTCTGTCTGGAAGGGTCAAAGAAACGCAGCAAGTCGTGGCCACACAGTACAGCTTCCGCCTCCGCAGCCCAGACCTCACGCTCAGTGTAAAGACAGCAGAGTGTGTGTGGAGTGCTAATGCTGTGATTAAATATGATTACACTCATTTGTTTCTGCCTTTCTCACACGCAGCCGATCGGTGAAGCTGTGGTCGGGGAGAAAATGACAGTCGAGATTTTGTTCACAAACCCACTCCCACGCACACTGAAGGGGGTCCTGTTTCATGTGGAGGGGCTGGGACTTATAACCGCTCAAAGTATTCACTATGGGTAAGAAATGTATACAGTATTCATCAAAGCACAAAAATATAGGCGCACTGTCATTTAAATTATATAAATATGAAATGATCCAGTCAAAACGATCCAGCCAATACTGTGCACGTATGGCTGCGGACCTCTGAAGCTGTGTAGGGCACGGCCTGGTTAGTACCGTGATGGGAGACCTCTGCCAAACTGTTGTTGCGTCCTTAGGCAAGGCACTTTACCCACATTGCCCAGAATGGTTGTGGTGGTGGTCGGAGGAGCAGATTGCACAGACTGGTTACCTCGCTTCTGTCAGTGTGTGAAGCGTCTTTCAGTGTAGTGAAAAGCGCTATATGATGCATTTTTATTTTTTCTATTATTACGATTACTGAGCTAGAACTGTGCTTGGATGGGCTGAACCAGGAACACACTCTCAGATAATTTATTGTAAAAAAAACAAAAACATATTAACACAAATGTACAGTTGGTTCTATTGGCCAGATGGGGCAATACTATGCATAATATAAAAATAAAAAAGTCATCTAATGGTTTTCATTTTTAGCAACATGAATTCCTTTGCTTAAGGCTACAATATTGAGATTGATCATTTCAGATTTTTACAATGTCTTTATTATTTTATTTCATGTTTACATCCATTTTTCAAACACTCTTTACATATAGCTTTAGTTCTAGGGTTGATTCCAACATTTCATACTCAAACATCTCTGGGACACAGCACCTGTCTCTTTCTGAGTGTGGAGATGACACAGACGTCTCTCTGAAAGCTTTTAATTATTGTTTTTCCATCTTGTTGAAACAAAGCAATGTGTTTGAGGCTTGTAGCCTTAAAATACATCCACAGTTGTGCCTCCAGTGATCAAACACGTCCAAGGCCATAACATAATTATTTGTCTGTTAAAAGTTCGTACACTTCTAACTTTGTAGTAAAACAAATCTGAAAAACTACTTGTCTCAACAGCAAATATAAATGACTTTGGTAAAAAATACCTGACCTACAGCAAGGGAATGTTTGTCTGATTTAACTTTAGAAAGTGATGGGGAGCAGGGGGTATGTGTCATTTTACTCAATGTATGTAAATTTATGTAAACATTTCCTCTAAATCCTCTCAGAAGCCTAGAACAGATCCCTAAAAGCATGTGCTAAAGTTGTGACCTGTTTTAGTATTAGCCTGTAATCCCTTTCTGTCATTTCATGCTCTGTTTTTTGCAGTGACATTGGCAGCCATGCATCTGTGTCGGTTGCTGCGAAGTTTGAACCCACTCAGTCTGGATTGAGGAAATTATTGGCTACACTGGACTGCAGGCAGCTCACTCAGGTCCATGGAGTGGTCAGCATCAATGTGAAGGAAAAGAACGAGGCAACCCTGTCGTGATTTCAAAGCGAGGAAAATGTGCTATGAATATTGACTGTTGTTTCTTGCATTTATGATGGCTTTAGTTTCAGTGAGTGAATTAAAAGATCTTGCAAGGATCAAGAAACTAAGCTTGCGTCATGGTTTAAAATCTTGTGACATGTCTTGCCAATGTGCGCTTTTATACGGTGCACGAAATAGATCATCAGACATTACATCATGACACACATATGTAACATAAATAGAAGGAATTTGTAACTCACAGAATGCATCACATGCCACCAGTCTGCCCCTGTTTTAGATATTTAAGATTTCGAGATTCTTTGATCTTATTTTAGCTTTGATCCCCTAACTAAATCTTGTTGACTAACACATACTGTTTGTGCCTATATCAGCTCTGCGGGCAGATGCTAGTTCTCTGTGTAATTTCTCCAGAGGTTTAAAGTGTCTTAAAAATAGGGTAGTTGTGGTTAAAAGGCCTGCACCTATTTTACTGTTGGATTATCAACATGGGTTAATTTTTAACTGATTGCATTTGCTCAATCTTTTTCTTTAATTTGAATAATTCACGTTTTCTTTTGGAGCCCAGAAAACAAAAATATGATGCCATATTAGTTGTGCATTTCCAGTTTTTGAAACATATCTATATATCTCAATAACAGACTATATATACTTTATATGCTATATAATGTGTGTCTTTTATTTATAGACAATATTGTCCTTAATCAAGATTAATAACAATAATAATAATATATAGATGGACAAAGCTAACCCCCCTAGCTCAATGGTGTCCAAAAGAGAAGTGCTCATGGCTGTTGTTTTGCTCCAAATCTCTCTGGCTCCTTCCTCTAGCTCAGTAACTGTTTGTGCCACACTCACCATTTCAAGCTAAAAAACATCAGTGATTAAGTGCTCTCTGTGATCCTGGGGTTTATATGATATCCATCCATCATTTCCTACCCATTAATCCATTTCAGGGTTAGGGGGGTGGCAATCAGAGATGCCACCCAAGTCACATAGCACCAGCCCCTTACCGATCCTCCTGGAGGTGGTGAGTCCAAAGGAGGATGGATGCTCTGTCCGTATGAGCATAGCCTTGATCTTTCAGGTTTATATGATATTTTATTTGTAAATCCAGATATGAGACAAAGACAGATTGACCAATCAGATGTCTTCATTTGTGGGGGAAACATCTGCCCCTGTTAGGTAATAGCTACAGTAGCTTATGTCGAAAACGGCTTCTTCCGCATTTTGTCAAAACCAGGGTGACGTTGGCCCCTGGGCAGTCCACACTGAAAGATAGTCTTTGATCTAAATCAGGGGTGGCCAACCAGTCACAGACTAAGAGCCAATTTTTTTACTGTGTTACAGCAAAGAGCCACATCATACAAATATGTACTACATAAACATCACCCCATCCCTTACACACGCACGCACGCACACCTCTGCTCAGACAGATTTATTGTAAATGTCATCAACATGATAATGACAGAAATTGACTCGTACAGTACTAAAGAGCTGGACTCGACTCTCCCTGGTTTGCGGGCGCTTCCACCGCTCGCTTTAGCCGCTCCCCGGTACTTTTTATTAATGGTTTGGCCCTGGTTCTAACCGGGGCGAGTCGATACCAGAACAATATCACGTCAGCGAACATCAATTATGATTCCGAAATGAAGAAAGCAAGTTTCAAACCAGTTTTCATCAGAAACACAAATGTCTTTATCGAACCATGATTCACTCTCTGACTGCATTTAGCAAAAGATATACAGTAGATTTGACACATAACACCAACACCACTTTAGCTGATTTAGAACCACAGACACATGTTCAGTATAAGACCAGATACTTTTGCATTTGATTGAAGACAGACACTCACCAGGCAGAGTTGGCTTATCTCCTGGTGCAGCTGGTGTTAGCTGGTGTTAGCTGGTGTTAGCTGGTGTTAGCTGGTGTTAGCCGATGTCCGTAAATTTAATCAATTTGGTCAAACCACCTCCAGAATTTTCGGTTCTGCCTCTACTTCTGCTGCTGTGATCTTTCATTTCACGGTTGTCAGCTTTTTTACCTCTCTCTGCATTGTCATGTTCGTGGGAATCATTCTGCTCCGTCCTTAGTGCTAGCTCCATAAACACCTTCTGGTTTCTGGTGGAACCATCGAGCTCACGCTGGTGTCCTCTCCTCAAACTGAGGAAGGTGTTGCCCTCATCCAGCGACCAAGGAGCTGTTTTCCGTACGGACGTCATGGGTCGAGGCAACGTGTTGTTTGTTATGATATTTGCAACAGCTGAGGCAGCAGCTGCAGAGTGAGAGACAGCGCATCTGACCAATCAGAATTGACTTTCGCCGACGTCAGATTGTTTTGGCGGCCCGTCTAGTGGAGTGAAGTCGGCCTTTACTATGGGTCAGAACTACATAGAGAATGAATGGCAGCGCCACCACCGAGGTGTTTTTGACGCTTGTAGTGTGAAAGCCCGAGAGCCGCACGGAACCAGCCAAAGAGCCTCATGCGGCTCACGAGCCGCGGGTTGGCCACCCCTGATCTAAATGCAAGATACACTCACTGATCGTAGTTGAACATAAAGATATATTCATAAAGCTTATCAGCACTGAAGCATAACAGGGTTTTGTTCTCCCCATATATCTATGTCTGTAGACATTATTTACTTTTCTTTTCATCTTCTAATTCCTAAAACATTGCCCTGTCCTGGGACTGAAACTTGAAACAAAAAACTTCCAGGACTAATATTGCCAAAAGGCTTTTTTGGGTAAGTTTGTATTATCCAAGTGTTTGTCTTGTTTTATAGCATAAATTAATATATATTTAATTTTCAATGTTGTGTTGAAATGTTCAATTGCTTCATTTGGATTTTTAACATAATTAAATAATGACACTGCAATTGTTAATCTCATATATTTATATATTTTGTCTACTTCACTGCACAGGCAGAAATGGCTTAATAGAATAAAAAAACATCAAAACAAAAGCTTTGATGTCAGTGAACAATTGACACACTGTGTGGGTTTGTGTTTTCAAGCTTTTAATGTTTGGTTGCCATGGATCCAATCATTTTATAGGACATGGAAAACACGAGCTGTTTGGGCAGAGAGGCAAAGTGGAGCGTGCACGCTGCGCTTCTTTAAGTCGCTGTCAGACACAAGTGCTAAGGGAATATTAATGACAGACAACCATCTTTCCAGTACAGACACAGGAGCAGCAGAGGAACCAGGGCTGCGGTAACAAATAAAAAGTATTTCCTACATGCTCTAGTTCTGCATACTTCCACAAAGATAACTCTTCCAGTCATGTCTGTTGCTTTTAGCGGACCAAACGGCTTCTTAATAAACAAGAATACATGCAAATTTTGTACATCTACAGATTGAGTAAATACTAAAAGAGTTTTGCTTTCTTATGTAATGAAAAGGAACACTTGTGATAGGAACACTTGTGCCTGCACAATAAACTCCACATGAAGCTGTATAGAAGCAATTACTGTAGCACTAAAATTGTTCTGTCGAAGAAGCGGAAGTAACTACACAGTGGAGGACTATCCGCGGATCATTTAACTAATACGAGAAATTACAAGAGTAAAAGGTGGCCGTGGTAAGCGCTTGTGGTTCACAGCAAGAAGGTTCTTGGTTGGATTCCACCTCCAGATGTGGGCTTCCTACAGGTGCTCCACTTTCCACTGCACCACTAACAACATGTACAGGTCTGACTGTAATGAGTGAGTGAATGGATGGTGGAGAGTGGAGGTTACGATGCAACAGTCTATTTGACGTTTCTGTCATCATCGTGAGTGGTCTGAATAGAAAATATGAGCTATTTAAAACATTGTAAAGCATTTTGGGTGACCTTGGTCAGTGAAATGTGCAATATTAATAAATAGTACTTTGAACTTTGTTACCATCTAGACATGGGGACTGATGTCTTTGTACATAATTCCCATGTGGCCTGTACTGTTTAGAACAGCACATGTTGTGGTTAATGTGTTTTGCACATGCTGGCCTGTAAGTGGCCAGCATGTGCAAAACAAAGAAGCGTGAAACATTTGTCAAAACAACTGGCCTCATGCTTGTATTGTTTCTATAGGAAATATAGATAAAGACTATTGTGCTGTATATGAACTTTTGCTCATTAGTCTGTGAATAAAAGGCCTGTTCGACAGAAATAAGATGTGACTAAAATTTGAAGTATATTTTTCAAACCGCCTCTAAAATGGTGAGAACATTCAAAAGGACAGCTATAGTTCTGGATGACACTAAAATCCCCACAAAATGCGATCTTTGTGTATGCTGTAGGTTCTCTGTCAGCTGAGGTTGAGCTGTTTTAGTGTGCATTGAGTTCTATGGGACATTTTTCTGGGTAGCCCACGTGCCCGTAGGTTAGTTACACCCTATCCAGATAAAATAGATCCATGTTCTCTGGTCTCGCTCTATTCAGTGAGGCTAATCTCAATAACACGTTGCTGATTGTAGGATCTATTCCTTATTCTGTTAAATTGTTGATTGTTGGTTATTCTATAATCCAGGATGTGCAGATGTAGCTGGTTTTGTAGCTGGTTTGTAGCTGGTTTTGTGAGCCTTTATGCGGTGCTCAATGGCTTTTTGCTTCAGCCCACTCCTTTTGTACAACTGAGGGATTTTATGTTTTTATCTTTCCTTTTAATGTTCTGTGATTATTTATGATTTTAATGCTATCTTGTTCAGCACTTTGAGTTGCCTTGTGTATGAATTGTGCTATACAAATAAACTTGCCTTGCCTTGCCACTATTAATACTGCCAAAATAAATAAATGAATAAAAAAATATATATACTGGTTTTCTGTGGGTAGGTTTCCAGGATACAGTGCCAGATATTAAAGCATAATAGAAACACAACCGTACGCTGAGTCAGATTTAGAGTAGTGCTTTTGCTTCTGCTCCATACGTTTTTATTGAAGAAAACTGGATTTATTCATGGTACATATATTTTCTCTGTACCAATGATTTGCAAAATAAGACAAGAAAACACCATCCTTGCAA